ATGTCAAAGAGAAGTTGGGGCCCGAGGCAGGAAGACCCTGTCTGTTCAGGGCATTGAGAGGGTTGCATGGACCAGGCACATTTGAGATAGGTCTCGAAGAAGAGGACATTTCTACCTGGAGGAAAGGGGAGGCTGGGAGTTGAGGTTGGGGAGAGCATTGCAGGCTGCGAGTTAACGCTAATGAGTGCCCAAGCAGGGGGCCTTGTTGGGGTTGGGAGGGGAGAGCAGACAGGAACTGGTGAGCGATGTGGACTTTTCGGAGTAGGACTTTGTGACCCAGCCAGATTGTTAGGATTGGAAAACCAGCAAGAAGTGTTTTTACCTGTTTGGGGTAATGGTTCTCAAACAAAGAAAGGCCTGTGTTGACACCTGCTCTGTGAGAGCTTGGCTCTGGTTCTGCAGCGTAAGGTCACAGTGGGAATGGGCAGGACACAGAGGTCATGAGGATGCTGCTGGCGTGTTCCAAGTGGGAAGCCCAAGAGCCCTACGTGGTGACGTTCTGGAAGGAAGATCATGGATGATCGCAAAAGGTGTGGGGGGCGCTGGGCAGGAGCTACACAGTGGACAGGGCAAATGAGTGCCCAGGACAAGGCAAGCTTCCAGGCTTGGTGCTCGTCAGGCCGATAAGGAAGTTAGCAAGAGCTGGTTTGGGTGAGGTAGGAAAACAGTGGCTGAGTCTGGATGGACAGAGGATCCACAGGCTGGAAATGCAGGTGTGGGATCAAGGCTAGGAATGGAGGCTTGGGAGTCATTTCCGTCATTATCACTGTCACCGTTAAGCAGCTACCACTTACTAAGCTCCTGCTCTGTGCTGGGTGCTGCATGAAATAATTTAATGCTCACAAGAAGACACAGGGTCGGCAGGATAAACCCCACTTAATAGATATGAAAACTGAGAGTCTGAGATGTTAAATTCATCCAAGACCAATTAGCAGGGATCTGGGGTTGGGCATTCCCCTTATCTGCTACCTGCTCATCAGCCCATCCAAGTAGAGTGAAGTTAAGAGAGTGGACCAGGTCCTCAGAGGGAAGGCAGATGGGGCTGAGAAGGTATCAGCCTGGGCAGCGCGTTTCCAGTGGCCCAGAAGGCTCTGCTTGACGCAGCTCCCCTCTTAATTCATTGTTAATTATCACCTGTCACAGGCTCCTCTGATGACATCCAACACAGAGGCCATGGATGAGGTCCAGAGTGTATGGGGAAAATTAAAACGTGTGTGAGACTGGCAGTAGCACCCATGTGACTTGTAATCAGCGCATGTCGGGGTTTTATGGCCAGAGTACAGGATGAAGGGGTTGTAGGGAGACAGAACAACCAGGATAGACTGAGTCATGGATGCTGGGGAGAGTTGCAGAAAGGAGTGGGGAGGGAGTCTGAGGAGGGCCGTGGGGCTGAGCAGCAAGCCCTAGATCTGTCTCTTCCCTGCTGGTTGGCCTCAGATGAACATGTCTCGTCCTGAGCGCCCTTGTCTGAGACGGGAGGCAGCAGGAGCCAGGCAGCAGGGCTCAGAGCAGCCAGGCTGGGTCAGTATCTGGCATTTGCTCCTGGTGTGAGGCAGAGGGTAGTGTTCCATGAGGTTCGGTGGAAAATAGGGAGAAAGGGAGTAGGCTAGTGCCCCAGAGGCAGGAGAGTCAGCAGAGTTACTTTGTGGCCTGGGGAGATCTGGGAGGATCTGCGGGCAGGTGCAAAGCCGCAGACAGGAGGAAGGAAATGGGACTAAAATGAGCACCTGGAGGGTGCGCTGAACACACAAAGGAACCAGGAGTGGGAGAGCACCGGCTGTGGGTCAGATTAGGAAGGTTTTTGAGAGTCACAAATATAACTTTGGAATTAATTTGTCCAATACATACTCACTGGAGGCCTACTATGTGCTGGGCACTGTCCAAGCGCTGGAGGAGACCGCAGTGACCATGGTAGGCAAAACCTGCCCTAGTGGGGCTTGATGTCTAATGGAGGACGCGATGGGACAGATTCAAGAATTTAAAATCTGCTTTTCTTCCCTGCTTGAGCGAAGCATAGACATTGCCCATAAGTAGACAGAGCCTCCTAGGGTTATGTCAGCCAGTGTTCTGCCTCCAAGTGGGATGACGCCATGTCAAGGGCGTGGACCCCATCATGATTTTGGAAGCATCTCAAGCAATGGATTTCACAACTTCCCTGTGTTGCCAATAGCATCTTATGCCGAAAAACAATGCTCTTGGGCCTGGGGTTTCCCTAGAAGTACAAATAGGCCAGGTGGGAAAGAAATGTGAAATCTGGCCAGGCACGGTGGCTCACGCCTATAATCCCAGCACTTTGGGAGGCCGTGGCGGGTGGATCACCGGAGGTCATGAGTTCAAGACCAGCCTGGTCAACATGGCAAAAACCAGTAACTACTAAAAAAATACAAAAATTAGCCAGGCACAGTGTTGCGTATCTGTAATCCCAGCTACTCAGGAGGCTAAGCCAGGAGAATCGCTTGAACTTGGGAGGCGGAGGTTGTGGTGAGCTAAGATTGTGCTACTGCATTCCAGCCTGGGCAACAGGGCGAGACTCCATCTCAAAAAAGAAAAAAAAGAAAGAAAAAAGAAATGTGAAATCTGTCAGTTTCTCATGGTGCTTGAGTAGGCGTGACAGACAGAAATTGACAGAAAAGGAGATAGTTTAGTGATCAGTTCCCTTCCTCTCTACATTTCCCCTTGGGGAAGGACTTTCCTGCCTAAACCAAGGCCAAGTCCCCATTCCAGGCCTCAGGGAACGTGTCAAAGTTCAGTAGGGAGAATGAGCCAAACTACATTATTTCTGCAGGAGCAGGAAGAGAATGCCTCTGAGGCAAGTATGTTTCTCTTACAGGTGCATGAGGTCATACTGAGTAAAGATCAAGTGGGCAACTGTTCAATTCGTACCGTGGGCAGAATTCTAAGATGGCCCCAAGTCCCCTCCACACTGGTACACACATCCTGTGTAATCCCCTTCCCTTGAGTATGGGCAGGATGAGTAAACATGATGGTTACCAACTGGTTGATTTAGAGTTAATAAAAAGAAGCATCATCCAGGGTGAGTCTGAGGTAATAGGTTAGCCCTGTAAATGAAGCTGAAGCCCCAGAGAGACACTGTCCTGATGGCCTTGAAGGAGTGAGGTACCAGGTTATGGAGAGGGCCACAAGGCAGGGAACAGCATGGCAGGGAACAGCAGGCAACCTCTAGTGACTGAGGGCCTAAGTCCTGTGATGGCAAGGAACTGAATTGTGCCAACAAGAGTGAGCTTGATGGAGGACCCCACACCTTAGATGATATTGCAGCCTCTACTGACATCCTGGTTTCAGTCTGGTGAGATCCTGAGCCGAGAAACCAGATGAGCTGTACCCAGACTAGACTCACAGAGCTATGAGAAATAAACAGGTGTTGCTTCAAGTGGCTGGATTTGTGGTAATGTGTTATACAGCACTAGATGAGGAATACACTTGGTGTGGTTCAGAGCACCTTGAAGAGCCCTCCAACACAATCCCAAGGGGGATTGTGACAGCACCGGGAGCTTCCTCCTGCTCAGGGCCTTTTCCCTTGTGAAATGCAAGCACCTTTGGGAGAAAACATATAGGAAGCCTTAGTCGCCATTCATACATTAATCTGCATAAGTTCCAACAACTCCGAGGGTAAGGTTGGATGTCAGGGAAGACAGCAGCTTCCCAGTCCTTTCCTGAGGGGTTTCATTAGGGAGGAAAAGTGAGAGCATGGCAACCAGAGAGGAGAAAGCCCATGGACAGGAGGACAGAGCTTAGAGGAGGCACACTGGCCCCAGGTATGAGAATAAGGAAGGGCACTGAATGGCCAGGCTGGAAGCACTGAAGATGAGCACTGAGGATGTCCCATTTTACCTGGGATTGTCCTTGGGATTGGGGTTGTATTCACAAGGTCTTCTGGGCTAAGAGGGTTCCTCTGCTGGCCCGGTAGTGGGGCACCCATCACGCCCTGCAGGGAAGGAGCAGAGGGCACGGCTGGGCTGTGGGAGGCAGTGATTCATTCTGGCTGCAGTCTTTGGGGGCTCCAGTGGAGCAGGAAGTGGGCTGAAGTGTTGTGCTGAGGGATGGAGTGTGGCCTTTCTACCCGGACCCCTGCCCACCTGTGATCCCTGGAGAACACAGGAGTGGCGTCGTCGTTCTTGCCTTGAGTAGTTCATCTCAGCACACTCATCCCAATTCTCAGCTCGGGAAGGACACCATGTGTAAGTGGCATGTCTGGTTGTGAATGGGACATAATTTCAGGGCCCACAAACATTCTCACTTCCAAAGCCTCTCTGAGGGCTGATCAGAGTCTAGGATGCCACCATTTAAGCCCATCACCTTCACATAGACCTTGTCCCTTATTTAAAGGCAGGAGCCTCTAGGGGCATGGCTCAGTCACAGCTTCCCAGCCCTTTCCTGAGGCGTTTCAATAGGGAGGAAAAGTGAGAGCATAGCAACCGGAGAGGAAAAATCCCATGGACAGGAGGACAGAGCTGAGAGGAGGCACACTGGCCCCCTGACAGAAGTTTTCTTGGGATCAGATCTGCCCAGGTGAGGTACCATGCCCCCAAGCTCACCCCACCCAGCCCTGCCCTGGATGGACAGCTCCTATCAAAAGAACAGAGTTGACTCAAATTGGAGAACTCTTAACAATGATGGCCTGGAAGGACACCCATTCTTGGGACATTCAGTCAACTTTTTAGCAAATCCGCATTCATTGAGAACCTACCTGGTACTGGGAAAAGGGAGATGGTCCAACCCCAGTCTCTACCCAGGGAAAGAGAACTACCCCAGTGCAGAGACATGGTTGCTGGGGAGGAGTAAGGGAGCAGGAGGAGCCGTGAAGGTTTTTTTTAGCATTTCTGTTTTTCATTGTTTATTATTTTTAAATAATATTAAATGCCCAGCGCTGTGCATCCTAAGCTCCGCCCAATTTTGACAGGGTGACTCTCCCACCCCTCAGAAGGGTTGACCACCCTTCCCCTCTGAGCCCTTCCTCCTCTCTGTCCTTGTTCTTGCAGATTGAAATGCTAGAACACAAATACGGGGGCCACCTCGTGTCCCGGCGCGCCGCTTGCACCATCCAAACCGCCTTCCGCCAATACCAGCTCAGCAAGAACTTCGAGAAAATCCGCAACTCACTCCTGGAGAGCCGCCTGCCACGGCGGATCTCCCTGCGCAAGGTGCGGGCACCAACCGCCGAGAGCCTGGTGGCGGAGAAAGCGCTCATGGAGGGCTACGGCCTCATGGGACTGCCCCTGGTGCGTTCGCCCTCCTTGCCGCCCACCTTTGCGGGCACCCTCACCGAGCTGGAGGACTCTTTCACCGAGCAGGTGCAATCCCTGGCCAAGTCCATCGACGACGCGCTCAGCACCTGGAGCCTCAAGACCATGTGCTCCCTGCAGGAGAGCAGCGCTTATCAGCTCCACCAGGCCCTGCAGGCAGCCGCGGGGACCTCAGGCCTGGAGGCAGAGATGCGGGAGCCTGAGAGCGCAGGCCCCGGGCCTGGGGCTGAGGCCACGGAGACTCCCGGCCTGCCCCCGGGCCACGGCGGCACCCTCATGATGGCTTTCCGGGACGTCACTGTACAGATCGCCAACCAGAACATTTCTGTTTCCTCCTCCACCGCTCTGTCCGTAGCCAACTGCCTGGGCGCCCAGACGACCCAGGCCACAGGAGAGCCCGCCGCAAGCAAGGCTGAGCAGGGCGAGACCCTGGGGCAGGAGGCCCTGGAAGCCTCCGCCGTGGGCCAGGGAGACGTGTCAGCGGAGGACACGTGCACAGAGCCTGGGGCTAGTGGGGTGGTGGATGAAGCCACAGCAGCCAAACCAGAGGAGGAAGAGGAGGAGGAGGAGGCAGCGGAGGTGGGGAAAGGGGCCGAGGCTGAGGCAGGCAATTTGGAGCAGCTGAGCAGCAGCAGCATGTCCACCAAGTCTGCCAAGTCAGGCTCAGAGGTGTCGGCCTCCGCCTCCAAGGAGGCCCTGCAGGCCATGATCCTGAGTCTGCCGCGCTACCACTGCGAGAACCCAGCCAGCTGCAAGTCGCCCACGCTCTCCACCGACACCCTGCGAAAGCGCCTTTATCGCATCGGCCTCAACCTCTTCAACATGTAAGTGAGCCCTGGCCCCAGCGTCCTGGGAGGGAGGGAAGGAGGAGGGGCACCTCCCCTCAACCAAGCAGGGCACCAGATAACTTCCCACAGCATCCCAGGGTCCTCCAGGCTCATCTGTGCCGTGCCTGATCCCTGAGGTCATGTTTAAGGAAGTACGCATTTTATTTTTAAGCATTCTGAGTTTATTTTAAAAGTAAGATTAAAGGAAAAGATAACACATCTAACACATGCTTTCACAACTTACAATTTAACACGAAGAGAATGTAAAAGAAAAGACAGTATTAAGTAAATAACAGTCCAGGCAGTTTGAGGATTGGGCAGCAATCATTCGGGTGGAATAGGAAGCCAGGGAAACCGCATTAGCTCCCTGGATTGATGAAATGCGGGGCTGGGTGGGGGAGGGAGGAGAGGCCCCTTGTAAAGAATGACAACAGAGAGCAGGGGGGCAGGGGGGCCTACGAGGAAGACAGAGTGTGAAGCAGGCAGAGGCAGACTAGAAAGAGAACCGGGGAGAAATGACTGACTGCCATAGCTCAGAGACCGCAACGAGACCCGGACAGGTCCTGCCCCAAATGTGCACAGAGGTAAGGAAGCACACCTGCCCCTCCCGTGGAAATGGAAAGTCTAGGAGGCACTGGTCTCCATCCTCCACTCACCCCTTCCTTCATAAGCTAGAGCCAAGAGCACATCTCTGCTGCCTCAGTGGTTGGTCATTCATTCATTCAGCTGTTATTTATTGGGTGCCAGGCACTGTGACTACAGAGGTGAGTAGGACACATCCCCTGCCCTCAAGGGGCTCCTAGTCTAGGAAAAGTAGCTATTGTTCATAGCTCACCTTACATAAAGCATCCGTAATCTTCCTAACAGTATCTAACAGAGGCATTACCATGCTGTTAACTCACACCAGTAAGACGAGTTGCACACAATGAGACAGCTAGTACTTGGCAGACCAAGGGGAAGGCGGATCTGACTCCAAACCACGCCCCTCCATAGTGGTACTTCTCCATGCACATGAAAATTTATGCAGATACTCATCTCCCTCAAGACAGTCGTTCTTAACTATGCATAATGCAGGACCAGTTTTGTTCCCCCACACCCCCCTGAAAATACATTGTGGGCTAATACTTTTGTAAATCACAATAAAAATGGGTTGCTAGAAAAAAAATCACATGCCTGGTTGTCCCGGAAATGTCAAAGCGTTATGAAAGGCTCTGAGCACTTACGCTGTGTTTCTGTGCTTGTCTCCTCGTAGACCAGTGAGAAACAGCTCAGGGAGCAGCATGGCCGCAAAGCTTGCAAAGGGAAGAGCGGGTGTGGTGGAGAGCTCACCTCTGTTTCTTGCACCCTCTCCCCAGGGTCAGGGAGTCTGCAGTGGAAACCTGCATATTGACAACAAGATATGGGTAGGGGGAGGCGCAGGCCCGGGGTAATACACAGGAGGAAGGTGCAGAGAAGAGCATTTCTCCTCCACCTGCTCTGGGATTCATTTTGTTTCCAGATCTACCCTGTCCTCCTTCTGGTCACACACTATCCTCTGCATGAGGATGTTCAGGGGATTGAGGCTTTGGTGAGAGATGCTTCGGATAGGGAACTGGATTTCCAAGAGTCTCTGGGCACTTCCACGGGTGGAAGATGGAAGAAAGAGTCATGGATGGCTTCGGCTTACTCTCTACTGCTTCTCCCCACCCCACCTGCAGAAACCCAGACAAGGGCATCCAGTTCCTCATCTCCCGCGGCTTCATCCCTGACACCCCCATTGGTGTGGCCCATTTCCTCCTCCAGCGAAAGGGCCTCAGCCGCCAGATGATTGGAGAGTTCCTGGGCAACAGCAAGAAGCAGTTCAACCGCGACGTGCTGGAGTGAGTACCCCTCGCTCCAGGCCGCCCCCACTCTTTCCCACGCCCCACCTGCCCCGGTTCTCTCTGTGAGCTCCTTGGTGAAATCCTCACTCCAGTTCTAACAGCTTCCAGCTTCCAGATTGGCCACAGGAACAAGAATCCCCTCTTTAGCCCATCATCCTAGTGGGACGGAGCCCTGTCTGCCCTTAGAGTCATTGATTAAGTTCGCTCCAGGCTCCATGTGAGGCACCGGGGGTACAGAAATGGTTCAAAGAGGCACAAAGCCCTTTCTGCCTGCTGCCCTCCAGGGTAAGAGAAACCAGGAAAAGGAAAGGGCTTGTGTCAGCACTGGGGTTCGTCTCTGCCTAGTGAAGAGCCCCTCAGCCCCCTTACCCCAGGGCCTTCCCATTCCCCAAGTTCATTTTCATATCGCTGGAGGCAAAATGTGAGGCAGAAAAAAGAAGGGGCTAGACTGAGGGTTTTAGATCAAGGAAATACTACCATTCCATACAGAGAAATCAATCGACAAAATCGTGACCAAAGAAAAACTGTTTTAAAGTCCAGTAGCAGGGTGGGGTCCCCAAGGGGGCTGCCTTTGCCCCCACTCAGCTCTGATAGTGTGGACAGGCAAGAGTCTCTTCACACTCACGCCTTGTCCTGAGTGAGAGCAGGGCTAGCCCTCCTCTGGGGCTGAGGGGCAGGGCCTTGCACCACTCCTCCCCTGGGACATCTGCTCTGGCCCCTACCATGCCCCGCGTTCTTTCTGCCTTCCACTAGTCCCCTAGGCTGGCTTCCTTCTTGAAGGTCACCATTCTGCAGGTACCCTCCCTTTTTCTCTTCCCTCTTTCTCCTTGGGGACAGTCAGCAGAAGTGTCTCCCCGGAGGCCCTGGGAGAAGTTCTCCCTTTCGTACCCGCCCCTGGAGCAGCAAGGGACTGCCAGAGAGAGTTTCGACCCTCAGAGTCACCCACCCAGCGGTCAGCATCCCTGGAGTGGGACCTCAGAGATTTAGCTTCGATTTATGGAGACATCTTGCTGCTGTGTGCCGATGTGGAGAAGCCCCTGTCCTCTGGGCCTGCGTTTCCATGCCTGCAGAGTGGTGCTGGGTTGCGAGGGCTGGACCCGTTGCGCTGTGAAATCCCCATCACATTTCTAAATCCCCTGACGTGGCGGTTGTCTGACAGTGCAATAAGAAGAGCGAGGACTGGGGTCCACGCGGGGACATTGAAATCCCTGCATTGCCCTCAGCTGGGCAGACTGACTTCTTGCCCTTGACTCTTGGTGGCTTTTGACAATGTCTCATCCCTTCTAGAGCTGCTGGTGGAGATGCTGTGCGCCCCTCAAAGAGGAAAGAGAGCCAATCATAGGCAGTGTCTCCCTTTCACCTCCTTTCTCTTCACCCTCCAGCTTCCCTTCCCTTCCCCAGCACTGCTGTGAGGGCCTGTGGAGGTGATACAGGGATCCAGGGCACATCCAGGTTGTAGAAGGGGAAAGATGGCATTTCCTCATGGCCTTCCTTTTCTGTGTCCCCTCACTGGCTCATCTCTCTGGCTTTCATGCACTGCTGTCTGGTCCATTCCTCCCCAAGCCAGGGTGAGGTACTGGCCCCCTTGCCCCAGGGCTCCCTGCTATGTCTCTCTGCCCTGGGGGTGGGAGTCACTTTGCTTCACTCATAGGCTCTGACTGTTGTCTGTTTTCTTTCCCAGTCCCCATTTGGCCTGCACCCTGAATTCTAACCTGCGGGGCCCACATTGATCTGGAGTGCTGGGAACACAGAGTTTTCCTCCAGCCCTGGTGATGCTGAGCGCACAATGAAAACTAATTGCCCTCCTCCCTGGGAGACTGGGCGTGTGGGCTGTGGACTGGAGGCTTGGCGCAGTGGCTGCAGCCTGTGCTGAGGAGGGGAGCCAGGCTGGGGGCTGGGCCAACCCCCTCCAGCCGCTGGGATCAGGCTTGGGATGGCTAGGGGCCGGACATCCGCCCTGGTGCACTCTTCCAGTGAGAAGAGGCAGCATGGTGAGGCAGGAGAAATGGCTGGGCTCAGGCTCTGCTCTTCTGTGCTGTATAGCTTTGGCAGGTCACCTCCTTAGGCCTCAGTTTCCTCATCTGTAAAATGAGAGGGTTGGGCAATGTGCTTGCGAAGTTTCCTCCAAGTCCTGCAAATCTCCCACCTTTCCCATCTCTTAGTGCATTGGTAGCACTGCCCTAAACACTGGGGCATGCTTTGTCATCTGCAGAGCAGCCTGCAGGTGCCAGGGATCATGGGGGAATGAGTTGGTCATTTGTTATTCATTCAACAAACATCGAATAGCTATTGTGTGTTGAGAACGGGGCCACGCTGGGCATCCGTGTTCGTGTGTATATGTGTGCGAAAAGGCATGGCTCACGGTCTCAGGGAACTTATGGACCCAGGTGTGGATGGGGAGAGGTGAGGAGAAGCATGGAAAGCGAGTGAGGAGACCGGGGGCCTCCAGCCGCAGGGCTGAGTGCAGAGCTGAGCCCCAGTATGCCTCAGTGAAAGCTGCAATCCCTCATGCTTGATTCTGTGGCGGTGCAGGCTGGGTCCTGGAGGCCCTGGCATGCTGACCCAGCGCCACAGAAAGGAGCCCCTCCCCAAAGTCCATAGGCCACTGACTGCCTGGTTTCTCTCCGAGATGGAGAGGGCTCTCTCCTGCAAAGGAGAAGGAGAAGCAGGAAGCGGCAGGCGCTAGCAGGGGAGGTGGGCCAGGCCGGCCAGCCAGCCTGGATTTTAGAATCACTGTCTCTTCCTCATTCCAGCCTGGATTTTAGAATCACTGTCTCTTCCTCATTCCCGCCAGAGAAAACACACACACTGAGTCGCCAGGTGCCATTTTGCCCAGGCCTGGAAGGCTTCATTGGGATTCTGTACGGCTCCCCTGCCCTCCCCCCGCCTCCCCGTGACATTTAGCAAGTGGCATGCGTTCTGTAGAAAGCTGTTTGCTGAATAAAAGGTTATAAATCACCCATCCCCTTGGAGACGCAAACAGCCCAAACCACAGCGCTCTCCCAGGAAGCAGCCGATGAGGAAGGGTGGAGGCAGGAAGCCGATGGAGGGGAAGGGTGAGCTCCCAGGCTCAGGCCTTCGGGGAAAGAAGAGGAGGGAGGGAGCAGCTTCCACCTTGACTGCTGGCCTGTGTCTGGGCGTCGTGGATGCAGTGACATTTGCTTCCAGAATTTGGCCGTCAGCACTCTTGAAGCTGACATCTCCATCCTTTTGTGTCTTATTTCCACAGAAGACACATTCCAAGAAGGAATGTATTCTTACCAGGCCGTATCAAATGATAATAATAGAAGGCATGCTGGGCCCACAGAGCCACACTCATTCCAGTATTTACCTGCAAAGGTTTTGCTTTTGGTTTTTTTGAGACAGAGTCTTGCTGTATTGCCCAGGCTGGAGTGCAGTGGTGCGATCATGGCTCACTGCAGCCTCAGACTCCTGGCCTCAAGAGAACCTCCCACCTCAGCCTCCTGAGTAGCTGGCCCCACTGACATGTACCACCACGCCTGGCTAATTTTTTAAATATTTTTGTAGAGATGGGGTCTCACTATGTTGCCCAGGCTGGTCTCAAACTCCTGGCCTCACACAATACTCCTCCCTCAGCCTCCCGAAATGCTGGGATTACAGGCATGAGCCACTATGCCCAGCCTGTTTGTTTGTTTTTAGAGGAGAAATCAGCCTCAGTTTCTTCATTAGTAAAATGCTGGTAAGAGTACCTGTCTCATACGAATTAAATGTTTTCAATGTACATGAAGTGCCTGAGGCTCAGTAAGTTATCTGTGTTAGCTATTTCTTTCCTTTTTTTTTTTATTAGAGACAGGACCCCTCTTTGTCACCATGGCTAGCTATAGTGCAGTGGCTTGATCAAAGGTCACCGCAACTTGAACTCCTGGGCCCACATGATCCTCCTGAGTAGCTGGGACTACAAGCTAAAAATTAGCTATTTCCATTATTAACTTTCCTACCTGAAAGCACAGACATTAGAACCCCCAGTCCCATTCCCCATGCACAAGAGAATCCTCAAACATGGCTCAGAGTCAGGTCTACTAGGCAGACAACAAGAACTTGCTGGAACTTGCTGGGCTTTGCTGGGAAGGGGGTCAGTTCAATCTGGAAGCATCCTGCAGCCTGAGGAAGCCCAGTCCAGAGGCTGAGAGTCATGTGGTGGCAGGAGCCAGCCGGGGTTAGGGTCCTCTGGGGCTGGAAGCCTCTCCCTCTCGGTTTTCACATGGCTGGGGAATTTGGCTCTGCTCTATTTCCTTTCTGAAATGTTCGCTTCAGCAGGTTTGAAAGCCAACGGATGGGGAATGCTCCATGCTGGCTGTGAGTGCCCTCTTTCTGGCCTGGACGATTTTTTCCGGTGTGAATTCCATGCACATGGAGAGCATCAGGGTCTACCATCTACGTGAAATGCAGGAACGTAGCTTCTGGGTTGAGCTACCAGAAGAAAGTTTCCTGGGTGTTCCTTCCCTCCACTGTGTCTGCTCCATCCTTTGTTAAATTCCAAAACATATCAGGGTTTGACATTTGGGTCAGATTTCATTATTTCATTTCCATGGAAATGTGTTGGCCAGAGTATAACAGGTTTGTTCTTCTTAGGGGACATTTAGAAGTAAAGACAGATTGTCTGTCAACTTCGACAGTCTGAAAGGCTCTGCCCTTTCATCGCTGGAAGGAATTATTTGAGAACGTCCTGCCCATATTGCTGTGTGTAATCTCAGTTACCTTATTCCCAAGGAATTCCCATGAGGAAGGGGAAGGTAGATCTTCGGCCTGGGCCGAAGGTAGATCTTATGTGTCTGGAGGAGATTAAAGGAGGTCCAGGCAGGCATTATGGCTCATACCTGTGGTCCCAGCACTTTGGGAGGCCAAGGTGGCAGGATCCCTTGAACCTAGGAGGTTAGGGATACCGTGAAATGTGAGAGCACCACTGCACCCCAGCCTGAGCAACAGAAACCTCATCTCTACAAAAAAAGAAATTAATAACCAGGTGTGGTGGCAGG